AAGAAAAGTTTTTTAAAGCCGATTTTTAAATCGGGTGCAAGGAACGATATATCAAACTATCGAGCTGTCTGTAATCAGTCGGAGCTGCCCAAGTTGCTTGATTGTTTGGTTAGTAAGAAACTGACATGGAGTTATAGAGGCATTTTTAATCCTGAACAATTTGGCTTTATGAGAGGGAGGTCAACAGATACCAACCTGGTTTTGTATGTCAATCATATATATAACAGCTTTGAAGAGGGGTGCCAGGTTGACTCAATCTATACTGACTTTTCCAAAGCATTTGATCGGGTAAACCATGGGGTCCTCTTACAAAAACTAAGAGCTTTGGGTATTTTAGATCCCCTTCTTCAGTGGATTACAGAATTTGTTAGTGGCCGTACGCAGACAGTTAACTTGGGAAGTGACACTTCAATTGAAATAACAGTTCCATCAGGCGTGCCACAAGGCTCCCATTGTGGCCCTGTTTTGTTTTGCTTGTTTCTGGTTGATTTAGTACAACAAATCAAAAATTGTAGTGTTCTTATGTTTGCTGACGATGTAAAACTGTTTAGAAAAATTCAATCCTGGAATGATGCTGTTATATTACAGGAAGATCTTAAATCGTTTTATGATTGGTGCACTTTAAACAAAATGTCACTCAATATAAACAAATGTCATAAAATGACATTCTCGAGGCAAAGAAATCCAATTACATTTGTTTACTACATAAATAACTTGCCATTAGCCTCGAAAAATGAAGTATTAGATTTGGGAATTTGGTTAGACACCAAACTGTCATTCTCAAGCCACATTAACCAAGTAACAAACAGAGCGATGAAAGTGCTGGGATTTATCCAACGCACATCTGTGGATCTGTCTTTATTTACATTTAAAAGACTTTATTGTGGTCTCGTTAGGCCCATTCTTGAGTTTGGATCAGTTGTATGGTCCCCATCATACCACTGTTACATTCAACAGATTGAAAGAGTCCAGAATAAATTTTTGAGGGTAGCAGCCTATAAGAGTGGATACAGGAGAGAGGAATACGACTATCAGTGGGTAAGAGATAGTCTTAACTTACCAACTCTTGAGTCAAGGAGGACATTGTTGGATTTATGTTTCTTACACAAAGTTATCAATGCTTTTATAGATTGTCCTCAACTCTTATCGCTTGTTAGTCTTAAAGTTCCTAGTAGAAGCAACAGACAATCAGAAATCTTTTCGGTGCCATTTCACCACACTAATTATGGTACCAATGAACCAACTACACGATTGGTCCGGAGTGCTAATAGCTTGCCAAGACAAATAGATATTTTTGACTCCAAAATTAGTTTGTTTAAAAAACAACTAATAAATATGTGTCTTCACGGATATAAACTAACAATTGTGGGTGTATACGCAATAAATAACGACGCACTAGCCAACGTAAAAGACGCATTTTTTTAACAGCTTCACGAAGAAATATCGAAAATAAGTCCATCGCGTGAAATAATATTAATGCGGGTTATTAACAGTAGAGTAGGAAGAAAATATGCGGGTGAAATAGTAGGAAAATACGGAGAAGACACCACGAACAACAATGGTGAAAGATTTATAGATTTATGCAACCAGAATCAACTCAGAATCTTAAATGGATACTTTCCACATAAACTGATACACAGCTATGCATTGATTCAGGAAACACGAAACATAAAAACAATAATCGATTATATTGTAACAAAACAAAAATCCGATTGAGAGTACAAGATTTAAAAGTTCGGAGAAGCGCAACATACGGTAGCGATCACTATTTATTACGTTCAAAAATACACTTCCCAATCCTAAAACAACAGAGAGAAACACATATAGACATAAACAAGAAAGAAAAGATACAGGAACGAAGATACAAGAAAGTACCCAAGACTTACTCAAAAATAGATTGGATGAGAAGCTACAAATTCCAGCCCCTAAGAATATAGACCAGTTATATGAACATATAAAAAACTGTTCACACGAAGCAGCATTTGAAGCAATGGGATACTACATAAAACCCAAGGTAAACAAACCATACTGGTGGGATAACGAAATAGAGGAAGAAATAAAATGTAAAACACAACTATACCAATAATATTTAAGCTCCTAATCATTACAAGACAAAATAAAATATTAAGAAAAACAAGCAGAAGTACGAAGGAAAATCTGTAGGGAAAAGAACGAGTCTTGGAAAAGAAACTGCCAACGAATAAATATTTGACTAGGAGGAACTAAAAGCACAGAAAGCTGGAAACTGATAAAATAATTGAGAAAAGAAAATAATAAAGAACTAATACAGAGCATAAAACCTGAAGACTGGGAAGAGTATTTCAAAGAACTTTTGGTAGAGAATAGAGTCGAATTTTAAGAACATATAAATCAAAACCAAGATAGAATTTCTATAGTCGGTTCACCAATGAGATTAACAACAGAGGAAATTAAAAATGTATGTAAACCGCCGAAGAGGAACAAAGCACCTGGACCAGTGGATATACCCGGAGAATTGTTTATGTAAAAAGTTCAAAAATGCATAAACACAAGCGAAATCCCTATGGAATGGAAGATATCATACCTGAGTACTGTTCATAATAAGGGTGATAAAAATAATTGTGAAAATTACCGAGGAATAGCTGTAACCGGATTTATGAGTCCAATATATGGAAAGGTTTTAAAGAGAGAGAATACTTAAATTATGAAGCAGAACAACAAGCAGGATTTCGTACGGGTCGATACACTATTGACCACATTTTCTCCTTAACCCAGATAATAGAAAAAAAGACGGCACGGAATCAAGATATTCAGATGTCGTCGACCTACGGAAAGCCTACGATAGCATTCCACTGAAGAAGCTGTGGCAATCAATGGAAAGCACGAATATTAATATACAATTAATAAAAGCCGTCCAAGTACTATACAACCAACCAATAACAAATATAAAAGCAGGGACACTAATAACAACAGGATTTATAATATCAAAAGGATTAAAACTAGGATGTTGTCTGTCCCCTACTTTATTTAAAATATACCTCGAAAGTGTTTTAAAAAGATGGAAACAAAAATGCAGGACAATGGAGACACCGCTCACCAACACTATGGTATATATGCTCAACTTTGCAGACGATCAAGTAATAATGGCTCAAGATTATGACGATTTAAACTATATGGCATGAAAATTAATTGAAGACTATGATATATGGGGTCTAGAAGTAAATAAAAAGAAAACCGAATACCTTTGCATTAGAGTAGAACAAAAAAATCTCATATTAGATGATATCACCACGATAAAGCACTGCTGTGACTACAAATTTCTAAGTATCACTATTTCACAAGATGGAACATTAGACAAAGCCATAAGAGAGAGAAATACGTCAGGGAGAAAAGCCATCACAATGTTAGCATTTTATGGGACCAATCCATCAGCAAAGAGGATATATGAGACTTAAGTAAAAAGTATCACTTTATACAGCTGTGAGATATGGCTACTGAAAGAAAGAACACTGACAACGCTGAAAACGACGGAAATTGATTTTTGGAGAAGAGCCGCAGGAAGATCTAGAAGAGAAAGGATTACCAACGAACGCATTAGAGAAATAATGGGAATCAAACGAAAAATCACAGATGACCTAACAACAAAACAACTTATCTGGTTCGGACACATACAAAGAATGGATGAACAACGAATACCAAAAGAAATATTAAAATGGCAACCGGAACGAAAGAGAAAACGAGGTAGACCGAGAAAAAGTTGGAGCGAAGAAATAAATAAAGAACTGAGAGAGAGAGGGCCATAGAAGAAGGCCTATGGAACAACCAGACTAAGTGGCGATTGAAAGTCGGAAAACGGCGGAGAACGTTATAAACCGACAAGTAGTAGTAGTAGGTGGTGGTGCACAATCTGTTCCACTAAACGTATACATTGTGATTAGCAAGAAACATAATAGCAGAAACAGGAGTTGTCCAGAGCACAGTAGACAAAATAATATTAAGGAATATATGTCACTAGATAATTTATCATTGTTTGAAGCATCATAATTCTTTCCTAAAATAAATAAAAAACCAAGAATTTGTAAAACACAAACAGGATTTTCCTGCATTAAAGAATATTAGATCTGAGGATAATGAGGTAGCTATAAATCAGATAAGTATACTTAACATTGATATGGACCTTAAAAAAACTACCTAGAGAGAGGCAGTAACTAATAAAAAAGAAAAAAAGAAAAAATACAGATACAAATCAAACATATTATACCAAATCCTATCAAGAATGCTTAATCCATCCAAATGGTAGACATAATACAACTCCACTAATAGGAACAAGTTCGAATAAAACATATGTCTCTGACTTTATCGAAGGATCTAGTAAGGGAATAACTTCTATGAACCCGTTAAATATTGTTTCAAATTTAAATACCTCAAACAAGATAAGTGATGACTCAGAGTCATAGTAATTGCAAATTATCAATTTTACAATGGAATTTGCAGTGTTAGTAGTAATAAAAATAGTATGGTAATTTTTATCCAAGATATTGACCCAGACATAATTATATTAAATTAAACTTGGCTTTTAGCAGCAAGTTCTAAAATAAAAATAGCCATTATGATTGCCAACCTTCGTAGGGAGACGGCACTCTAAGAAGAAGAAACTTTGCATTAATAATTTTATAATATAGATATGATCATAAAGATAATTTAGGATGGAATTGCAACTTTAATAAAATCAAATATCATATAAATAAGTATAATTAACACAGATGATTCAAGATCTCATAAAATTTTTAAGAGTTAATCATTCTGATATAAATGGTAAATTTATTCCATTCCAATATTTGTACTTTTTAGAAATTTGTTAAAATAATTTGTATCACTAGACTTCTCTTATGTTACTTTGTAACAAACATGTTTTTTACAATAAATGATGTAAAACAATTTACAATAAATGATGTAAAAAATATAAACTAAAAAACCTATTGGATAAATAGAGAATTAATAAATTAGAACAAGATACTTACCGACATATTAGAACTACCGGGTGTTGTCCCATATCCTGATGAGGGAAGGGAAGCCACAGACCATCTTCTTCCATCTCCTCGATATCCAGCAACAATTCTGTGGAATCAAAAGGTGTATTTTAAATGCCTAAATTAAATTTAATCAACCACTAATATGGAGACATAAATCACTGTGAAGGGATTATTAAAAAGAGCCACGTATTTGTCATGGTACATCATTTTTTGGGTCTATTGGCAATGGTCTGGAATTGGTAAGTGGGTAGTAAAGCGAAATAGTTACGTCCGTTGTAGTAACGCCTTTGATAACTTCTGGGGCATTTGCAAACGAACTGTCAAGAATAAGTAATTCCACACCACAGTCTCTTTGTGTGTGATTCTGAATTATTGGCTTCGAAGTCAATCTCAATTCGCTATTTTACCTTTATTGGATTATTTTTGTATTTTTTTATGTGGAAGCTCTAAAGAAGTGCTCCTTACTTACATTCTCGTTTGTTAGGAAAATAATACAATCAGATTACTGCTCTAATTTTACAAAGATGTATAATTACTGGTTTACTTTATTTCTATTATACATTCAGCAGACTGTTTTCTTTTGCTGTTTTAAAATTGCTATTAGCCAAGACTTACAACATTTTTAAAAATTCTACTAATCATCTTTTGACAATGTATTCGTCATACATTCCCAAAAAGAAACTACTTTACTTCAACACTAAATTGCTGACCTCTGCCAACAACGAACTCCCTGATTAATATACTAACATCCTGGAGAAAACTCGTCATTAGATAAATAGTTCACTTCTGGTATCTGCGCCCGTATCATGGATCAAAACTGTAAATGTTTTGTTGATATTTTGAGACGACTACGGTGAGATTTCGACCTATACGTACGTATTTCGAACTCTTCGCCATATTTTTCATGCACAGCTCGAAAGGTTTCGATGTCCGTGCCACGAACCAGAGCGGTTATATAGGCGACGGCCAATTAATCACCTATTTGTCTGCAACACAGCTCTCTGCCTATTTATTAAATCGTTGATAGACTAGCTTACTTCCGAATTAGTATCTAGAAATAAAAATGCCACGACCCATCCCTTCCCAACGACACTGCCGAGATGTATGAGTTTATGTAGTAATTTTGTTCGTTAAGTATAATGTATTTAGTTTTCTAAATATTGACTTTTAGTCCATAATGATCACAGGCCTGGTTTATGGTAATTATATTTTGAATGTCTTCACTATAGTTAGTCATAACTTAGGTATCGTCGGCATTTCTGCTAAAGGTGAGTGCATATAGCCTTGCCTCACCACTCTTTTTATATTTACTTCATCCTGCAGGTCCCGTTTAACTCTAATGATAACATAATACAACATGGCAGGTGAAGACGATGATAAAAAAAGCTCCGCTAAAATCTGTAAAAATCTGCTAAAAATCAGTAGTCAATATTGTTGTAAAATGTGTTAATTGTGAGGTTGTATTCCACCCGTCTTGTGCACTTCGAGTGGCAGATGTAATTGTGGTAGAATAATAATTTGGTGAAATGTGGTTGCCGCAATGAGTGTGAGGTTATAACTGGTGCTCCAATGCAGATGTTGCTTGAAGTAAAAGATGAAATGTTAAAAGGTAAAGATTCTTTATAAAAACAGCGCTTTACTGGAAGAAAAATTACAAAACTTTGAAGGAAAAAACTATTCTGAGCAGCTGATGTTTTGACATATGCAGAGAGGACAAAGCCGCAGCTTCAAATTCAAACCATAACCCCCAAATTTTAACAATGAAAACAAACACAAATGCAAACAGGGAGGAGCAAAAAATGCAGAAAAGACGCCAACAGCGCAGTTTCCTGTGATTTCGGTCCATGAAGTCAATGCAGCAGTTTTGCAGGCTAAGCAACAAAATATCATGCATAATATTCAAAATTTGGAAAAGAAAAATAATGAGAGTGAATGGATGTCTGAAGTCTAATCGTCGTAGGATATTTGTGGTTGGACGTGGATCTGAATCTATCAACATTCAGACGGTTCCTAAATCAGCGTCTCTGCATGTTACGAGATTGGCTCCTAACACTAAACCCGAAGACTTAAGAAACAGCCTCAGAGACAAGTTTCCAGAAGTAACCTGCGAGCCTGTTGAGTCGAAACATCCAGACATTTATTCCTCAATGAAAGTCACTATTAACCAAGATAATTTCAGAAAGGTTTGGAATAGAGAAGTGTGGCCTAGTGGTGCAGTAGTTTCCCGGATTTTTATGAAGAGCAGGGTGCCGACAGAAAAATAAACGGACCCTCTCAATCAACACAAATAGTAAGTAATATAAACATTAATACACCAAAGAAACTGATGTCAATATACTATCAAAATGTACGTGGTTTAAGAACCAAAACCAATACAATATATGCTGAAGCTCTAACTGAAAACTATGACATAATTGCCCTTACTGAGACATGGCTGAATGAAGGTATTTTTGATTCTGAACTTTTCGACAATAGGTACACAGTGTTTAGGAAAGATAGATTAGACCATAGGCTGCGAGGTGGAGGAGTACATTTAGCAATCAAAAATGAGCTACTTTATGAACTTGTTAATGTTACCTGTGATAGTGATTGTGTAATACTTAAGATAAGTTTAAAAAACTTTACTACTTATGTTTCCGTTGTGTATTTTATACCTAAAGTTGTGATGTATGAAAATTATTTTAATTGGTTTGAGAATATTTATCATCAAAAAACTCAAATGTGATGTTACTAGGAGATCTCAATTTACCCCATTTTAATCATAACAGCTTTTTGGGTTGTAATAAAAATGTGCTGATGCAGCAGTTTCTTAATATTAATAACTTGCAACAAATAAATAATATTCCTAATTGTATGAATAGATTTTTAGATTTTGCTCAGATTAATGTAGATGTTTGTACTGTGGCAAGGTCTGACTGTCCATTAGTGGCTGAAGATACGTATCAGCCCGCTCTCATCGTAAGTATCAGAGTAAGTGAAATAGCTGATTTACCAGGCAACAAAAAGGTATATACATACAACTATGCTCAAGGTAACTACTGGCATATTTATCATTTCATTTTTCAGTTTAACTGGACCTCATTATTCTTATATAAGGATACTATAAATGATTTTAATGTTTTTTATAGTCAAATGTACACCTTTTTAAATTGTTCTATTCCTAAAGTCAAAAAAAGGGCCAGCAACTCTACTTCCAGGTTTCCAAACTGGTTCTCTCAAGATTTGATCCATAAAATTAAAAATAAAAATAGTCTAAATCGTTTGTGTTTAAATAAAGCCTCAAGGAGCCCAAAGCGTGTTGAATTTCAGCTTTTAAGAACTGATATTAAAAACCAAACCAAATATGATATGAGCATAACTATATGACTTATACAAACGTACACTTGAAAACCATCTACTTGCTGACCCAAACAAATTCTGGACTTTCTTTAAGTTAAAATATAAGAATAGTGGAATTCCCATAGAAATGACATTAACCCTCTAAAGACAAAATTTACAAAATTTTAAAATTTATTTAAAAAAAATGTTTAAATTCAATTTAAATCAATAATTATGTGTATGGCATATTTATATTTAATTTTTATCATTATTTTTGCAAAAAATTTAAAAATCTTAAACGTTACGAAAACGTCACATTAGGCATCTAAAAGTAATACAATAATTTTAATGCAGATATTTATTGGTGCAGAAACATAATTTTTGAATAGCATGACAAATTTTAATTATGATAAAAAATGGTAAAAACAATTCGAATTTTTATTAATACCTAAGTACACGTTGCACTTCTCACACTAATGCACAGAAACTGCTTTACAAGCAGGTTTTTGACATCGTCCTCTTTTATCTTTCACAACGGGCCAATGTCCTATTTCATCCAGCTGAATATCCTTTTGAGGAATCATTTTTGTAGCTGCACTTTTGTGTGTTTTTTTTGCTGCATTAAGATCTTCACTAGAGCTACTGCTGGGACGTCCTAATTTTTTGGTAACTGTCAGTGTGTTTCCTTGCTTCATTAGGCTTTCGGCTATTCGACTCTTAAATCAAACAGAGACAGTTCGTTTTTCTTTGGAAAACCAAAATCATTGCAGTCGCGTCTATATAAAAGCCAACAATTTACAACTGCCATATCCATAAAATGGAATACACAACGATGGTAATATTTCTTTGATATAATTGTGATTCTGTATAGACCTATTAGTGAATTCATAAGATCTACTCCGACCATGAATTTATTGTGAGTTCGCATTGCTGTGGGGCACTCAACATCTACAGTATCTTTTCTTGTTTTATCCCATCTTCTCATTGCATCAAGAAGTTTCTCAGAGGAAAAGTTGGAGATGAGCAATACTGCACGAGAGAGAGCATTTGATGATTCTGCAAGGTACGGTATCAGTTTTCAATTCTATTTCTTAAAACGATCTGCGTCCTCTTGTTTTCAGGATTTTGTCTGACAATAAAGAACACCTAGGAAGACGATTTGAGCGGACTGTTGCTAGACAATATATTTTCTTTTGAACTAGTTCATTGAAAAGGGGCATCGATGAAAACCAATTATCGATATAAAGAAGGTAATTTTCTTGTTGAATGCTTCTACAGAGTGCTACAATATTGCCGCTGGAACCAATATCATTGTATCCTGGAGTAGTCGAAATTTTTCCAGTATATACTTCAAAATCGTATGCAACACCACTGGAGCCAACCAAAACAAATTTTGTAGCTCCATTTGTGAGGCTTTTTTGACATTTTCCGTTTTAGCCCGGAATGACCCTTGAAAGGAACCATTTGCTCATCGACCACGACCATCTGCTCCTTTGGAATAATTTCTTTCGAATTTTTTCTCCCAAATGTTCTACTTAGTGTCTAATCTTGTATAGTTTATCTAAGTTTGACGGATCAGTTTTGGTATTATCGGAGAAATGAATGTTTTTTATCGTCTCCCATGTGTCTCTACTCATTATTTCACGGACTGTACTAATATCAAATTAAGAACTCCAATATAATCGAGTTTTTGGTAGTTGATCAAAGACATAAAATATTTACCCATAAATTATTCTAGCTCTTTTATTGTCAACCTCAGAGGTTTATTGGGTTTTGTTTGAACAGCAAATAAATTCGATTGGTAAGTAATCAAATTTAGAAAGTCATCGTAGAAAAATTTTCTAAAATAATCTATGGGGTCTTTTATAGAAGTAGCTTTTGGTAAGCTGTAGTTCCACATTGGAGTAACACTGTCAGTATTGTTTTTTTCTGTTATATCGGTATATTCATTCTTATTGCGCGTACATTGTTCTTTTATTATTTCTTCACCACCATCACTAAGGTCTTCCTCAATTTCAGAACCAGAGTCCTCGTGAATTACCCATTCATCACTTTCATTTTCAGAATCAGAAACACTTACATCTCTATCACTTGGCATGTCAATGGCTTGATGCCGTTCTGTCCATAAAATACAGCTGGATCCATTTTGAACTATTTTAGTTGCTTGACTCTATAACGCTGAATGTAACGAAATCGTCACGTTTAAAACACGTGTTCAATCTTCAATTTACGACTGTTTATAGTGATAAGCATGAACTATCCATATACTCCTCCTCAATCCTTTAGCCCTTGTCAGGGCGTAGTGACACCCTAAATATTGTTAGTCTGCTGTCTCCATTGACTGCGATCTTGTGCCATATGGACGGCTTCATGTAGGGATTTTCCCACCAAACTCTTCATTTGGTCTACCCATCGTATTGGAGATCTTCCTCTTGGTCTTCGGCCTTCTACCTTTCCTTCTACTACCAATAGTTCCATGGTGCCCGTTCTTCTAGCTATGTGGCCGAAGTAAGTTAGGTATGCTTGGTTTACTTTTTTTAGTAGCCTCTCTTTTATATGAAGCTCTTCCAGAATTGACAGGTTGGTTCTATGTTCTGTCCAGGACACGCGTAGAATTCTTCTATATACCCACATTTCGAAGGCTTCGATCTTACTCCTATCGATTTTTTTGAGAGTCCATGTTTCAGCTGCATATGTAGCAATGGGAAAAATAAGGGAAAAATCCATATACTACACAGAACTTTTCCGCTAATATCTATTTTACAGATTTCTTCCCGGTAAACATTCACCGATTTTTTCGAAATCGAAATTACACTTGTATCCTTATCTGTTTCGAGAAGCATGAGGTTAAAAAATTGGTCAAAGTGTGTCGCAGTGACTGTTTCAGTATGAGGCATAATATTACGAATTCGTAACTTTTGGTATCGATGAGATTAGGTTAATAGTTTGCCTACAAATCGCTTTTCATTGGAACGTTACGAAAACATCACACTCATCCTTAGAGGGTTAAACAACTCCAAGTTTATTACGCCTTTTAATATTGCGAGCGCCTTTGCTAAATATTTTGCATCAGTGTATGATATATCTGACTGCACACATTGTCATTCTCAAAAAAAATACTCAATGGGGTTCTTTTACCTTTAAATATATCACAGAAATAGATATTGTAAATAGTATTAAAAAAGTTAAACCCAAAAAATCTACAGGCCATGATGAAATACCACCCTATATCTATAAGGGAATGGCTGAACCCTTGGCTAAACCTTTGGCGTTTTTGTTTAATATGTCGATTGAACAGGAATATTTTCCAGATATTTTTAAAGTGGCAACAATTTCTCCAATACATAAAAAAGATAAAAAAAAACGATATTCAAAACTACAGGCCTATTAGCCTGTTAAATAGTATTGCTAAGATTTTTGAAAGTATTCTTTATGATGATATGTATGAGCATGTTAAGAGTAAAATCAGCAAATTCCAGCATGGTTTTGTAAGAGACAAATCAACAGTAACTAATCTCTGTGTTCTTTCTGAACATATTGCTAGGCTATTGAGGCAGGGGAACAGTTCAACGTTCTGTATACTGATTGCGAAAAAGCATTTGATAAGGTAATCACTGTATTCTTTTAAATAAACTGGTACAGTTTGGTTTTTTAAGAAAAGCTTTTAATTTATTAAAATCTTATTTGTCAGATAGAACAAAAACAGTACAAGTAGGTAATTGCTTTTCTCATCAATATGTGTCATGCTCAGGAGTCCCAGAGGGGAGCAAAATAAGATCATTGCTCTTTATTTTATTTATTAACGACTTGCTAGACTGTATTAAATCTTGTAACAGCTTAATGTATGCCGATGATTTTAAATTTTTTAAAATAATCTCTAATAAGAAAGATGCAGTCAAATTGCAAGATGATCTAAGATAAGTTATTCAATGGTTTAACGATACAAAAATGAGTCTTAATGTTAAAAAGTGTGCAGTAGTTTAACATACGCGAAAACTCAATAGTGTTATTGAAGATTATTATATTAATGATGATCGAGTTGAGAGAGTGAGTGTTATGAAGGATCTTGGAAATTCCCAATCAACATAAAGTTCAATATACACTTTTATGAAATAACTAACAGAGCTTATCGTGCTTTGGGTTTTGTCATTAGAAATAGCAAAAATTTCAGAATAAGCATAATTATAAAACTCTATAATGCTCTGGTGAGACCACATATGGAATATGCTTCAATCATCTGGTCTCCTACTGCATTTTCAAACTCAGAAATGATTGAAAAAGTGCAAAAACGATTTTTAAGATTTCTATACATAAGGATACTTCTCCTTGGTCGGTTTTCATCTACTTTCTTCTACTTGGTCAAACTTTTAAGTTTTGTTTTTTGATAATATTGATAAATGTATATTTTAAATCTTAACGTTAACTTATCAATTTAAAATATTTAAATTTAAAATTCTACAGTAACTAAAAGTAATAATCAATAACCTTCAGACGTCATTTTAGACATTTTCAATTTTTAATTAATAATTTAAATACAGAGGTCGCTCTCGGATTTATTTCCGTATATCCGAGCTTCCTATCTCATTTTACTTCAAAAATGTAAGTCAAAGACAGCTGTTGTCGTTACTGTATGTGGTAACCATGTTTTATAAAAAAAATTTTGATGTGAATTATACATATGTATAAGGGTTAGACCCAAGATCTGTGGCCTACAGAGCCCGATCTTTGTTTTTTAATATGTCGTTTGTCCACAATTGTCCATCTATGAAGTATTTATTGCTTAATTGACGTAAGTTTTTTCTATCATTGTATTTTATATAAAAAATTTACTTAACTTAACGTTATTTTAGGATAGCTCTGATGACATTTATTATGTCGAAAGTATACTTAGCTTAATTAATAAATTATTTTACACACTATCAATTTTATTGAAAACATACAAAACCTGCTTACCAGTTAGACTTATTTAATAGACTGACTCGTGTGGATATATTTAATGTAAAGAGCTGTGAACTTAAGACATTGCTTGCTCATGAGCACTAGGTTTAAGGGGTTTATTGTATTATTATCTTATTGTATTATATTGTGTTCGTTTCTTTTATTCATTTATTGCATTTTTTTTTCTCTTAAACACTTTACATGTAATTACTATTAGTCTATCTATAGTGTTTGTAAGGTATCTAAATAAGTAAATAATTATTATTGTATTATAGCTTACCTTTTGATAGGGGCAAAAGAAAAATTATTTAAGTTGGTGTGAGTTCTAGGGCTATCGATAGGACTACCACATACAGGAGAGTGAGATCTAGGTAGCACTGGACTTGTATTAGTAACAAAACTTAGCCTATGAATTGCAGCTGACCGGCTATTCCGTCTATTTACTGGACCTAGTTCCTTCTAAAAGATAAAACATTTATTAAATAACATATTTTATAATATTTATTCTTAGAGTGATACATCATGTACAGTTGATATTTCTTAGATTTTTTTTAAAACTGTAATTTATCTTAAGAATGTTGGGTGAGTTCCATAAGTTCTCGACCGGATAGGCTTTAATGGTAGGTACAGATTTGAATGTTTTCAAATTATATTATGTTATGGTTGGATATGGCTTATGCATACACTACAGAAACTGTGAATGGAAGCGTTTTTATTGTGCCAGTAGCCAGGTTATACGTAAATAGGAGTATATAAGTACAGGTTAGGTATTAAAAATATAGCGTTAGATTTCGCCATATGAAATAAGATACTTATATGATACAAGGCGAGATAGTTAGAAGTATTGGTGTACCTACATTGTATTAGAGACTGTGCGCATGAGTCTGCCAGACCTCCGCGCAGAACAAGCTGGATAGAGAAGTTCTCAAGTTATTTCTGTATCAGGCCTAGAATTAATGGTCTCCCATATTTCTAATAAAAAAAAATAGTACCATATAAAAAACTCTTACCATATTTAAGGACAATGATGGAGCCGACTTCCCTAAGGCCGACTTTCGAATGCGTATTAGGTTAGAAGATCCATTTTCTGTATCTAAAAAATGAAATCGATATAAATATGTATGTAGCTGTGTTAACTAATAGGCCAATTTTGATTTATAATTAATTGTAAAATGTTTTTTTTTTAATTAACAATCAGAATAAAACGTATTCTACAAGAAAATGTGATCAATTGAGGTCCTGTCCCTTGATTCTGGCGTGTTGAGGTCCTCTCCAGTGAGAGAATCTGACCCATAATTTGATTTCTTTTTGCCTTAATTATTTTTGTTTTGTTTTTTTTGTGATAATGTGTTCCTCCCAACATAGGGTTTGGTCCAGGTGTAGCCCAAGGTAGTTGGTTGTAAAGTAAAAGTTATGCGGGTTGACTTGCCTTCATTTATTTTAATTTTCCATTGTTCCAGGCGGTTTTCAAGATCATACAAGTAGTCTTGGAGTTGTTGTGTAGCTATTTTGATGTATTTATGACTGTGAGTGCTATTGTGTCATCTGCAAAGACGCTAGTTGTTACGTTATTTGAATTTGGCAGATTGGATGTATATAATAAATATAATAGAGGTCCCAGAACGCTGCCTTGTGGAATTCCCGCCTTAATGGGAAGCATTTTGGATATTTCTCAATTTACTTTTGTTCTGAACTGTCGGTTTTCTGTCTGTATGATTAAGTATGATGTAAGTATTAGAAATAATAGTGGTAATATTTGTTTAATTTTATGAAGAAGTTCTTTATACCCAACCTTATAAAAGCTTGACTTACATCTAGTGATGCCATTAGGCAATATTCCTTTTCTTCTAATGCGGATTAGATTTCCTGGGTTCTTCTTCTTAGAGTGCATGTCCGTTCCAAACGTTTGCGATCATTCTGGCAATGATGACCTTGTTGGTTGCTATACGGAATAGATGCGTCGAGGTCTTTCTATATCATGCTCTCAGGTTAGCAAGCCAGTATATTCTTCTTCGTCCTGGGGCTCTTTTTCCTTTAATTTTACCTTGCAAAATGCATTAGAGTAGCTCGTATCTGCCTTGATTTCTCATTATATGTCTCAAGTACTGCAGCTTACGGCCCTTCACGATGTTGACCAAATTCGCGGTTGTGCTCATCCTCCGCATTACTTCTTCATTGGTGACTTTGTCCATGGTATCTTCAGGATCGTTCTGTATAACCATAGCTCAAAAGCCTGAAGTTTTGATAGTTTCCGCCTTCAATGTCCACGTTTCTACTCCGTACAGAAGCACTGAGTACACGTAACATTTAAGGAGGCTTATTTTTGTTTCTAGAGTGAGGTCATGGCTTCTTGAACACAGAGCTCATAGTCAAGAATGCACTTTTTCACATATATTCTACTTGTTTCCGTTATTTTGTTCATTAAGTTTAGCAGTCCTTCTATGGTATTGAAAAACACTATTATATCATATGCATACCGCAGGTTATTGATCTTGAATCCATTTATTGAGATGTCTTCATCAATATCTTTTAGATCCAATCTCTGTCCTCTTCAGCACTTCCATCATTTGTTCATGCCTGACTATCGAAAGCCTTTTTGTAGTCAATCAGGCATGCAAAAACATGACAGCTGACATCTCTACACTTCTAAAACAATACCTGCACGCTAAATAAAGCTTCCCTCGTACCAACGGCATTCACAAATCCAAACTGATTGGGCGTAATATGTTCCTCGCATTTCTGATAAATTCTTTTGTGGATGACTTTTAAAAACAGCTGAAGCAGATGGCTCATTTCAGTTAAAATTTTTATTTGTTCTGCATCTAATAGCTTCAGCAGTTCTGCAGGAATTTCATCAAATCCCGATGCCTTTCCATCCTTCATTTGTCTGACAGTTGCCGTTATTTCTTCTGGAAGGATTTCGGGACCTGAATTTTCTTCAAAGGTGGGTTTTTGCATTGTTCTAAGCTCATTGAATAAAACATTTCATGGGTTAGTTATTCAGTGGCATTGCTAGATAGTTGAGTGTTCCCGTCGAAATCCATACTGATAATTTGGTATCCATTGAGCGTATGTAAAGTCTGAATCTATTTTATTGATTAAATTTTTTTCTAGTACAGAGTACATTTAAGTATGTACTGATAACAGAGTGATATGTTGATGTAAAATGTAAATCCAAACCATGGAAATCAACCCAGTAAATCCATGTATTTTGTTATAGGGTGAACACAATTGTAATCTAAGCACCCCAGACATACATTTTCAAGATATTCTCTAAAATATTTCTTTACTTACTTTCATCACAGAACACTAACCCAACAAGAAGCGAAACGGAGGGCTTTTTCGCAATCCAAATTTCTTTGCGCATGTGCGAAATCCGCCATGGTTTCATTAGTTTTGATGCCTTGTTTGTTTATGTATTGAGAAGTGTTTGTTTTTTAATAGTTAGTATAATTAATTTAGTTAGTTATTTAGTTAGTATTTTAGTTAGTTATTTAGTTAGTTAGGTAATTTAATATATTTGTGTAATAAACTTATTGTGATGGCTGTACGAAAGGGAGGATTTTATTGTGTTGTTCGTGGGTACCCATCGAAACCTGGTGAAGAAATTAGTCTCTTTTCAATACCGACTGATCGTAGCAGGTAAACAAATTAAATTTTAAATTCAAACTTATTACAAATGTTTTCTGAATGTTTATATTTTAGTTAAATACACTTTTTTTAGAGCTGAATTATGGCTGAAAGCAGTCAATAGGTATGGTCTGCTTTCCAAGCATGCTGAATTGCATACTAATTATAAAATGTGCTAGAAACATTTTGAACCGGTGTAAATGTACAAAGGAAACACAAGGAAGACATTTCAACAAGCACATCCAACGATTCTCTCACACAGCCAATCAAATATATTATGTGATTCTCCATCCTTAAGATATTTAAACGACAAAATATCAAATTTGTCAAGAAACCAATTGCCCCTAGAGAATTTTAAGGCTCTAATTGATACGACCAAGAAAATAACCGACAATATGCCTGTTTTTATGGAGATCTACGATTTACTAACTAAAAATGATAGTAAGCTGGACTACCTTACAAAAAAAATTGACGACATCCATAAATCAAGTGATTTGCTTAATGCTGAAAAGGTTGTAAAATCTATAAGGCAAATTGAACAAGATATCTTCAATATATCGACGGTTTTTTTCGGCTGTACCGATGAGACTATCAAGGTTCAGGTGCATGACTCTAATTCAGCTGATATTAAAGTGGGCTTGGAAAGGCTCTCATCAAATATTAACCAAATTTCAAATCAAATCTGTAAACTTCACAATAAAATACCCACTCTACCAGAAAAGACAGAGGTATCTATGAAAAATTCTGTTTGCGTCACCTCGGCCACTCAAACAGATGATACTCAAGAGACCGGAGTAGTTCCTCAACAAAGTTCAAACACTGCAGAAGAGAAGTGGCAATATGTAGTTATTAGCAACCTATCCCCAGAATATACTCCTATTCAAGTGGTCCACTTTATTAAAGAGAAGTTAGGGTTAAAGGAGTTTATTAGATGTTATGCCCTGCTGAAAAGACAAGGTCCTTCTAATGGTTCATCATTCAAAATAGGTATGGAGTCTAAATCCTCCATTAACTTACTATTTAATAAGGAAATTTGGCCACCTAACGTTCACATTAAATGGTCTATTGAATCTCCAACTTCTGAATCACGGTATTTAGAGTCATCACCAGAATTAAACAACAAATCCATGGAGAATACTAGAAGCCCCGTTAGCCAAGAAAATTCATTAACCATTTTGAATGATAACAAAAATACAGGGGAAAAGATAAATGTAGCCTCAGATAAACATGCAATTGAAATTTGCAAATCAAAACCGCATCCTTATTCTCACATTAATTTTGTTAAAGAAAATATTGCAACGCCTACTGTAAATCTGGACCCTATGACCCCACCGAAGGTTAGATTAACTATGAACACGGACCCTTCCAACAATCGATATCTTCTAGCAAGATTAAGAGAACCAGAGATATTAAAAGCCATCAAACTGCATCTTGCCTTTCTGTACGACCAACCTGCTTCGGTTTGTTATGGGGGTTTTACGAAAACAAGCATCAAACTATTCTTGGCTTCTGAGGGACTTTCCATGACTACAGAAGATCTGCGAAAAATTTATTTGAAATTTCACGATGCCTATGGAATTGGTCCAGCTGAGGTAGACGAAGATCTAGCTGCGTTTAGGTCCTTTATCGCTGCTGAAAGAATTATCCATCTGCAAAGATCAAGGGAATGTCATACAAATTACTTTTCCACCGCTTCTCCAAGACGAAATTTTTAAATGTTTCGACGTTTTCTGAGGGTCTAGAATCCTCCAATTTAACTGCTAGCAACTTTGGCATGGTTCTTATTAATATTCGATCGATTAGAAATAAGACAGACGAATTATTTTTGTTTCTGGAAGAATTAGGGTTTCCCCAGTTAGTTGCAGTGACGGAACACTGGCTTGAAGTTAATGAGCCAATTTTCATTCAAGAATATACCACAATTGCTAGGTATGATCGTCCAAGTTCAGCTCATGGTGGCACTCTGATTCTTTCAAATAACAATGATTTTTCTTCAGTTTCGAAATATGACTATTTGCTGGGTGAAAACTACTTCGAATTTTCTTTGATTTTTAATAAGAAATTTAATCTATACATTATTTGCATTTATAGATCACCTAGCTCTGATACTGAACTATTTTTTCAGAGCCTGCTAAATTTGTTAGATATTCTGCCCATTAAAAGCAGAAAAATTTTATGTGGTGATTTTAATATTGACTACGCTGCTGTTTGTGCGACCCAACTGTCTTTGGTAACTATTTTTGAATCATATGGTCTCACAATGCACGTTAATTCTCCAACAAGAATCTCAAAAACATCATCCTCGACAATTGATTATGTGGTTTCCGATTTTCCACCCGCTGACGTCCATTCTACAGTTATTAGTGGGGGGCTTTCTGATCATGAAACGGTATATACCAAGTTTAGCAGTTTACAAACACCTCACTCAAAAACCCGACGATTAGGTAGGATTTTTTCCACTCA